TGCCCCCTCCTCCCCCTCTCCCCCCCGGCCTCCCCGCAGGTATGTCGCCTCCACCATCATCGGCGCCACCACCCTGCAGCAGCTCCAGGAAAACATCGCCGCCTTTGAGGTGGAGCTGGATGCGGCCACGCTGGCGGCGGTGGACGCCGTGCACCTGCGCCACCGCAACCCAAACGTCACCGACTGACTTGATGCCGGGAGCGCCCCCTCGGCTGACCGGCCGATGCCTGGCGGGCGGCAGCGCCCGGCGCTGCGCCGGACCGCCGGCCACCTGCACCGCCGCAGCCCTAACGCAGCTTCCTGACATGGATTCTCTCGACGCGTGCTGGTGACGGAGCATTGCGCACTGCGCGGTTTAAACCAAATTTGCTGGCCAGGCACCTGCACAGCCCCAAACAGCCCCGCCTGGTCTTGAGAGGTAGCGGCCTCTGGCAGGCTGGCTGTGGCAGCCGGGGGCGTACCCCACCGCCACCCCAGCGAATACCTGCTCCGAGGTGGCGTCTGACAGCTATGCCACAGCACTGCAGCATGTTCCCATTCCAACACCAATTGAATCCTGCCTCATTTCATGTTGCGGTACTTAGATGTAAGGCCATACTGGAAAAAATGAAGAATAAAGGGGATCGGCGCAGGCCGCCCTGCTGTCGCCAGCCGTGCAATTCGCTCACGGGCGGCCCTCGGCCCCGGGCAGCGGCCCGCCTGCGGCCCTGCCGGCGCCGCCGCCCCCACTGCCGCTGCCAGTACCGCTGTCGCCGCCGGCGCTGCCGCCGCCGGTGCCGCCGCCGCCGCCGCCGCGCAGCATCTCGCGGAGGGCCACGTACCGCACAAATGCGCGGTACATGTCGGGATTGAGGTCAGCCGTCTCGGGCAGGCTGGGCTTGCGCCCGTGCGTGGCCTCATACGCCGCCATCCACCCAGCCACCTGCTGCCGCAGGCGGGACAGCTCTATCACCGCCGCCTCCCGCGCCAGCTCCTCACTGAGCTGCGGGGTGGAGGGAGGCTGGCCCGGGTGGTCACCGCCGCCGCGCGCGAGCCGCTCCCGCGCCCGCCGCCGCCGCTGGGCGGCCGCCATGTTGGCTCGCACCTCGGGGCTGCACCGCCGCCCGGCGTGGCTGCGGGACATGCGGTACCGCACATCCAGGCCCCAGGCGCGGCGCGAGGCCGCCGCAGACATCTTCTGCCGCACCTCCGGGCTGCAGCGGCGGCAGGCTCAGGGTGAGACATCATGTCTGTGCGATCATGCACGGGTGGGTGGAGGGGTGGCAGGCGAGGCGTGCAGCCGCACCAGCTGCCAGCCAGCAGGTCCCCAGCTGCCCACGCCGCCAGCCACCAGCCCAGCCCGCGTGCCGGCCGATCCCCGCGCCAGTTGCGCCCAGCCACCAGCCTCGCCAGCCTCACCTCCTGGGCAGCTTGCGCCCGTCCACGCCGGGGTCGCTGCGAGGGCGGCGCGGCGGCTCTGGGCTGCAGGGAACCGTGCGGGGTGCAGCGCCGGCCAGGCACCATGCCAGGTGTCACTGGCGGCAGAAAGGGCGGGCTGCTTCCCCATCCGCACAGTGCAGCCAGCCGCCCGCACACGCCTGGCCTGCGGGCAACAGCCCCCAGCCTGCAGTGGTGGCTTGGAGGGCAGCAGGCCTCTGCCCACCTGCGCCCATTGGCCTCCCGCCACGCCTCCCACCGCCGCCTCGCCGCCGCCGCCATGTGCTGCCGGTGCGCCTCCGAAAACGGGGCCCGCCGCCGCTGGCTGCTGCCGGGCTCGCCAGCCGGGTCTTCGTCAGCCGGCTCCTCGTCAGCTGGTGGGGTGTGAGGGGCCTCGCGGCGGCCCGCTTTGGTCGGTGCCTGCTCCGCAGCGGCTGCAGCCCCAGCCACTGCCTCCCCGCCTCCGGCAGCCGCCATGCAGCAGCATTGGTGGTGCCATCGTCGCCGCGGCGGTGCCAGGGCCTGCAGAACGGCAGAGGAACCAGGCGCACTGGTTGAGCCGCCGGCAGCACTTGCCGCGCACATGTTGGTGCCGCTAGAACAACCACCGGCGGCGGCCACTGCGGCACGCATCGCTATCTGCTGACCTTTAAGGTCACATTGCTGGGCGCTGCTGCTCGGAGGGTGGTGGCGGGGAGGAGAGTCCTCACGGCCCTTGCTGCGGCGTGCAGCGTTGTGCGGGCTAGCTAGTGAGAGCTGGCAGAGAGGGTGCAATGCCGCAATGGACCGGATGTGGCAACGCAAAGGGCATGCCCAAAAACTGCATGGCGGCGCGCTGTGGGCCGCTGCGCAGTGCCACCATGATGGCAATGTCCAGTCCGCCGCGATGCCAGCCTCCGACTTCAGCTCATAGTGTGTGCCTGGAACTACCTGCTGCATGTAGACGTCACACGCCTCGCATTTACAGCGGCGGGCGCGGCAGAGGGCTCAGGCAGCAAAATTAGGTGCACGGTGCATACTGTCAAACACTCGGTTGTGCAAGCAAGTACAGGGGTGGCTTGCGGGAGGACAAATATGGATGGAAATGGGGCAAAATTGTGAGGCATTCTGGGGTGGCTGGGCCAATGAAAGGCAAGGTGGATCAGGGAATGGGGTTGCTTGGCTGGCTGGGCCCCTGCTTTCTGTTGTGTGCAACCAATTGGGGCAGCCAAGACCGGGGCATCAGGGATACAGCAACGGATGGACTGGCGAGCAAGGGGGGGCTACGGGGGCCCGCACACGGGCCCCCCTCAGCAGCAATCTTGTCAGCGGCTGCCGCGGCCAGCCCGCGCCTCCAGCTCCCTGTCAAGGTCTTCCAGGATGCCCACCACCTGCTTGCGGAAGATGCACTTGCTGAGGTCGCCGATGCGCTGCGGCGGCGCCACCGTGGGCGTGACCGACAGGCGGTGTCGCACCTGGGCCGGGCGGGGGAGGGAAGGGGAGGTTGGGCGATGTCAGGGCGGGGCCGAACGGGCTAGCAGCGGTGCGACACGATAACTGCACGCTGCCGCCAATGCCGGCAACTGCGCCAAGCCTCCTCAAACCATTGCAGCCATCCAGGCCTCCTGTTGGTCATCATCCCAGCCATCCCCAAGCCAGCCCCCACCGGGACCCCCCACCCCCCTCAACCCCCCAACACACCTCGGTCATGCCTCCCGGCAGGCCCCGCACATCCCAGGACCCCACAAACTCCCGCATGAAGGCGGAGTGGGCGAGTGAGAAGGTGAGCTGGCGCTGCTCCGGCTCCTCCACCACGTTGAGCTCGTGCACGAAGGTGCCGCTGGGGAGGAGGCAGGGGAGAGGGCAGGGACACAGGCATCAGTTGGTGGAGGGTGGGCGGAGGGCAGCGGCATCCGCCAGCGGGGGCAGCAAAGAGAGGCAGGCGGGCATGCCTCTCTTGGCCTGCAGCTGCGAAGCAACCGCTGTCACATGCCACGGCAGCCCCCGTGCTGCACCCCAGCACCCCGCCATCCAACCCGCGCCCACCTGAACACCAGGAAGGCCCACTTGCAGGTCTGCACCAGCTGCTTGGCGCCGGTGTGCGCGCAGGTGCGCACCGCCGACGACTGGACGTTGTGGAAGACGCGGGTCAGCGCCTCGTAGTCAGTCAGCACCTGCCAGCAGGCAAAACAAGGCACAGCTGTGGCCATGTCAGTGCTTAGGGGCAAACAGAAGGAAGGCTGGGCAGCCTCAATTTGACAGCAGCTGGCCCAAGTGGTGCAGGGAGCAGGGGCAGGGGCAGGGGACACAGGCAGGGCAGGTGGCCGAGGTTCAGGTGCTGGGGGGGACCAGGGGCGCAGCCGTCGGTTGAAATGTACCGCCGAATCCCATGCCAGCTGCCGCACACGGCCGCCCACCTGGTAGACGACGTTTGGGCAGGCGGGGGTGACCAGGCAGCCCTGCACGCTGTAGCTGCCACCCGCATACTCCAAGCTCTCTATGTCCACGCTGCTGAGGGGCTCCTCCTCCTCCTCCCCAACATCTACATCCACTACCGCTGCCCTGGGAGCTTCCAGCCGACGAGGCGGCGGTTGCTGTGCAGGCTGCGGTCGCCGCCGGCTGCTGCTGTGCAGCGGCGCTGCCGCCGGGGCGCCGCGGTGGCGGCCAGGCGCCGCCGCCGCTGGCCGCGGGAGGCCGGTGCGCGCTACGAGGGGCAAAGCCGCCATGCCTGGTGGTAACAAGACCTCCTCAGCGAGTTGCGGGGCCTGGAACGCCTGCTTCTCAGGCTTGTTTGGTCAGTCTGACGGGTCGGTTCGTGTGCAGCCTGGGGGAGGTTTGTCGGTAATCAATGTGAGCAGCAGGGAACGTAGGCTGGTAAATGGGCTGCGACAGGCCCTGGCCTTCCTATCCTCCGCCTGCTTCGTGCCACGCCATAGCAGGCTGCAGGCTCAAGAAGGCTCTTGCCTTCAGCAGCTGGAGCCTCGTCATGATATACGTGTTGAACATTACCTACTAGGCCAGCAGTCTAGCTCCCTGAGCCCCTGCACGAGATTGCGATCGTCAGCCCCAGCTAGTTCCAGAGTTCGGGAGCCCCCTTCTGTTGCGCCCAGCCAGGTGCCAAACTGTGCCAGGCACCGCGCTTGCGCTGCGGAAGACGGACGCAAAACCCATTGCTCAGAGCTGCCGCTGGCAAGCACTCACGCAAATGTGCCAGCCCCTTCTGGTCCCTGCAGTTCATCACAAGGCCCGCCGCCGGCCGCCGCCGCAGCGGCGCCTGCTGCCCCGCCCTCCTGGGTGCCCGACTCGACGCGCCCCGTCTGGCCGTGACCGCCTGGGCCCTGCACAGCAGCAGCCATGGCATACTATGCTCCGCCGGGAGGCATGGCCTACCAGGCGCCAGGAGCCATGGCCTACCAGGCTCCAGCAGGCATGGCCTACCCGGCGCCGGGGGCCATGGCTTACGCAGCGCCGCCAGGAGGCCCGTCGCGCGACCCTCACATCAGCCCCCAGTTCACAGCACCCACCAAGGTGCGCCCCTCCCCCTCTCTTCTGTGTACTGCTCCTGCGTGCTTGCGCTGCATCTGTCCGCGGCTTTGCGTGAGCGCATGGGCTGGGCAGCCGCACACCGCACCCTCATCTGCTACCCTCGCGCTCCCACACCTAGTGCGTCACCCCACACATCCCCGCATTCACTGCCTCTCTGGACCACCGCTTGCGCAGGTCATCCACCTGCGCAACCTGCCCTTTGACGTGACCCTGGAAGAGATCCGAGAGTTCTGCGCCCCCTGGGGCACCATAGTGGCGCTCAAGGACAAGGCGGGTGCCGCCTGCCTGCTGCCCAGTTCCTGTCACCCACGCCCCTCCGGCGCCCGCCTGGCCGGCCCAGGCGGCCCGGCAGCCCTGCACGCAGGACAGCCGGGTGCTGCGCCGGCTGAGGCGGCGTGAGCAGGGCCTCCAGCGTCCAGCAGATCGCTAGGCCACGGCCGTCCCGCGGGCGCCCTTTCTTCCTTTCCTTTCCTAAACGCCCCGTCTCCCTTTCCTTTCCTCCAGGTGGGCGGCAACCGCAACCAGGCGTTTGTGGAGTTTGCGACCCTGGAGCAGGCAATGGCGATTGTGTCGCACTACCAGTCCTCCCCCGAGCCCGCCAAGTTCCGGGGCCGCTCCTCCTGGCTCTCCTTCTCGGGGCGCGACCGCCTCACAAACGTGACCCCCTCCACAGACAGCCCCACGCCAGTGCTGCAAGTCAACGTGATCAACATCCAGGTGCGGCGGCAGGGTGGAATGAGGGGCGGGGAGCGGCGGCGCGTGGTGCAGGGGGATCGTGCAGGGAACTGCCGTGGGCGGCGCTGCAGCCAGGCTCGGCCCACATGCACTGGCCACCCCCGCTGCCTCCCCCTCTCCTTTGCCCCTGCCCCACCCTGTCCACGGTGCTTGCCCTCCCTCCCCCGCCCCTGCCGGCAGCCCGACCTGGCCCAGGCGGTCACCTTGGACCTCCTGAACAGCGTGTTTGGCGCCCACGGCTTTGTGAAGAAGCTGGTGACCTACGCCAAGCCCGAGGGCGGCGTGGTGGCCTGGGTGCAGTTTCCGGATGCGCAGACGGCGGCCACGGTGGGTGGGCGCCTGGGCAGGGCCCGCGTAGGGGCGTACAGGCGCTGCTCCTCGTTGCCGCCGGGCGGCAGCTGGTGGACGCCCCCGGCCGCCTCCGCTGCTGCTGCGCTGTCGAAGCTCGCCCCCGCTGAGCTGCTGCGCTGTGCTCGGCTGGGCGCAGGTGCGCAACACGCTGCAGGGGCAGCCCATCCCGCGGCATCTTCTCAACGACCACCCCAACCCGCCAGTGCTTGACATGGCCTTTGCCGCACAGCCAGACCTGGCGATCCGGGCGCAGAGCTACTGCACGCGGTGAGTTGCCTGGGCAAAGGTGGTGGGGCGCTGGGATGTGGTGTGGGGCGGCCCAGGCTTGGCAGCTGAGCAGTGTGGGGAGGTGTCTGAAGCGGCGCCTTCGCTTTCGGCTTGGCTGCCTGCCCATGCCGTCGCCTTGCTGGCTTCGATGTGTCCCTGCTGCCCCCCAGCTGTCTTGCCTGCCACACTGGCTGCCCCCTTGCTGCTCTCTCCTCTGTGGCGCTGCTCTATCTCTGCCCCTCTGGCTGCAGTCAGCTGCCCTTGCTGCACGTTTAGCTGCCGCTCAGCCGCCCTCTGCTACACTTGCCGCCCCTCTGGCTGCTCTGTGCTGCCCCTCTGGCTGCTCTATGCTGCCCCTTTTGCTGCCCCTTTTTGCTGCCCCTCTCCCACTCTGGCTTTCTTTTGCTACCCCTGTTGTTCCTCTGGCTACCATCCTCTCCTCTTTCCGCCTCAGCACGTAGGCACTGTATCTGCCACCTGCAGCCCGCATCCTTGCCTTGCTGCATCAGACCTGCTGTCTCTGCCCTGGGCATGCTGTTGCCGCGTTGCCCCTGCTGATCGCTGCCCTGCTGCCTCCGCTGCCGCCGCCGCCGCCGCCGCCTGCCGCCGCCTGCCGCCGCCGCCTGCAGAGACTACACCAATGCCGCCATTCCCTGGGGGGAGCCTGACCTGTCGATGATCCAGGCCATGCTGCCTTCCTCGGGAGGCACAGACGGGCCCTCCAATGTGCTGTCTGTCAGCTTTGACCAAATGACCTATCCGGTGACCGTGGATGGCGTCCACACGGTGAGGCGGCGGCAGAGGCAGGCGGCGGTGGCGGCGACAGCGGCAGCCCAGCCAGGGCGCTCTCCGGCCGCTGGCCGCAGCCGCCGTGGGAGCGGCTGGCCGGCTGGTGTAGGCTCCAGCAGCCGAGTCACCCACCCAAAGCTGGCTGCAAACGCTGCATGCTGCATGCTGCGGGTTGTTGCGGCGGGCCGGGTTGGGGCTTGGTTGCTGCGCTGACCGCTTGCAGCGCAGGGAGGCCGGGTGCGCGTCCACGCTGTGCTGCCAGCTGCGCCGCGCCTGCAGAGCTGCGCCTGCTGCGCCGCTCCTGCTGCGCCGCGCCGCCGCTGCGCTGCGCAGCTCGCCGCCCTGGGCTGCGCCTGTGCCTGCGCTCTCCTGGCAGGCCGCGCCATCGGGGCCGGCCCCCCACGCTGCCGACCTCCCACCCATCGCCCTCCGCTGCCGCCCACTCACCCTTATCCTCACCCTTTGAGCTCCCTCCACCCCCGCTGCAGATTTTTTCTACCTACGGCTTTGTGCAGAAGATCCACATTTTCGAGCGGGACGGCCGTACCGTGGCGCTGGTGCAGTACGCTGACGTGGCGACCGCTGACTCGGCGCGGGCCGCCCTCGAGGGGCACGCCATGTACGACGGAGGGCACAACGTGGTGGGTTGAGGGTGTGGGGGTGGGGGGGGGGGGAGAGGGGTGGGAGACTGGAGGAGCGGGG